CCAGAAGAACGACCAACTGCAAAAGAAATTTGTGATATTTTTACAACATGGCAGAATAGTGAATATATTTTATCAGAACTAACTGAATCAGATAAAAAATTACGAAATATAAAAAATAAAGGTACGCAAGTAGATGTAGAAAATTATAAAAGTAGGATTATTTCATGCGACGGTAATTCTGTTTCATGTGACGGTGATTCTGAATATCAAGGTAATAAAATGATACATTTAATATTCTTACTGTAATTATGATCTTTTATATTATCATACCTTACATTGTTTTGCAATCTTTTTTATAGTCAGTGAATTAAATGAATTGGGAATAAACAATTTCGGAACGAAAATCCTGAAAAGAGTATTACACTTTACTAGTAAATCTAAACCTAGAAACAGTACAGTTTCTGAAAAGAATATTTCCCTTCATAACTTGCTATTATCAAGACCTATTGCTTTGAAATTTTTAAAAAAAATAGAATATTATATTTTTAGATATTTATACCTTTTTATACTCTTATAATTATTATATCAAAATTTAGATGAAAGCTAAAAGTTATAATTAATTTTAGAATTTTAGAACAAATAACCGGTGGTGGTCGGGTATGATATAAAGTAACAAATTTTAATTAGAGTTAGGTTTTAGTACTCCTGATGTGTGTTAGCTAGTAGTTTTTTTAGATTAACACCCCGGTGATGATCATACCAATATTCTTAATTTAATTTAAAATAACAAAATTATTTTTTATTAATTTTTAAAAATTATTAGGATCTTCTTTAGTATAAGTGGGGATATATAAATTATTACAAGATTATAATATATAAAACCTAACTAATTTGTGCTAGTTAAACCCTAACCTTAACCCTGACCTTAATAATTTATAAAATTATTTAAATTAGTTCAAAATAGTTAAGTTATATATGTTATAATTGTATAATAATTATATATGCCCACCTATACTAAAGATCAACCAATTATTATAAAGATTTTATAATTTATTGCCAGAGTAATATATTACCATCCATGATTAGTCAATTAGAATGCAGAATAAGGTGTAATATAAAAATCGAATTGATTGCATGTTTTTTCAAAAAAATTGACTGTAATATGAAATTCTGCTCATAAAACCATCTTTTGCATTCTTACAAAAAATAAATTATTTATTAAATTTTAGATTAGAAATTTTTTATTGACATTCTATTTCAACTTTAACTCAGATTCTAAACTAATGAATTAATTTATCATTTTGATTTTCATTTTTATGGATACATATTACTTCATTTTGTAGACATAACATTTCACCGACAAAAATTCACTGACATGTTTATTTCACTAACAATTATTTCACAGACAAGTTCATTTCAGCGAAGCTCATTTCATAGACATCTTTTTTTTTTTATAAATTCCACTAACCTTTAATTCTAGACTGACCTTAACGACAATGACCAGTTTAATAATTAATTACGGTATAGATAATTTACTAACTAGATAGCTGCGCAATGTTATCGTGCAAAACCAGCAACAGAAAACCTAAAAAAAGAAAACGGTTGATTATTAACTTTACTGCTAGAAGATTACTTTACCCTTTAACTGATTATTTTTTCATCAGTAACATCAATCAATGTGCATTTATGGACGCTGATTTTTATTATTAATATGCAATATATATGTCAAATAATTATCTAAGTGTACAATACGGGTAAATTATGAAAAATAATGATTTCGCGGGTCTTTTATTGAAATTAATGCCACTCCCATGTACAGTTTCGAATGCCTTTAACTTTGATAAAAGCAATTGTCTTTGTATAATTATTGTCTCCACCTCTATTGTAAATAGCTATGAGCATGTATAGATCATTTTAGTTAATCTCCAACGCCACACCAAAGTTCATTTTTCATTTTGCATTATCCGCTGACCCAAATTTTCAAAATTCAATTTTTATTCTTATTTTTTTTTTACAATAATAATTTACTTTATCATTATTGAAATAATAATATTTTGATTCAGAAAAATAATTACCGGTAATACTTATTTAAAGACACAAAATTACTCGAGTCTAATTTAAAACATTTCGGGATGATATCTTTATGAAACTTGCTTGGTTGAATCTACAAATAGCACTTTCATATTATTGACCGTTTTAAATAATAAATTCTAATTTTTCATGCCATTTACACTAAAATCACAACGTTCTCTGTTGACGCAATTTTGGTATAGTCGCGTTTACGTGACGGTCGCACTAAGCCATCAATAATACGTAAAATACCTAATCCGGAAAAATAATATTCAACAAATTTTTTCTATATTTAAGAATAACAATTATTCTTCGATTTAAACGAATGCTATAAATAGCATGATTATCACACGGTGGACGATCATTCGCATAGAATGTATAGAATGTAAGGTGTGAAAAATTATTTCCGATTATTAGTTACACCGCTCCCTCTCAACCTGTACGGATTTACTTATTTGTGCGAGTGATACAAATCTAAAAATGGAATCAATTTTATTTGATTGGTGAACTAATCTTCACGTGAATAAGGACCTTCCGGAAATCCGACCAGACAAACCGATCTTTCCTAGTGACGCACCTCATTAGACAAATCAAGATCAGACGCGTATTTTTATGGGTTATAATACGAAAACTTCTGCTTCAAAAGAAATATTTAGTCTGCGAATCTAAAATTATAAATGAATTTTTTACACATAACTTATTATCAAATACAGTCAACTCTGGATATAACGAACCTTTTTATAAAGAACTCTGGATATAACGAACTCGAAATTTTTAAATTTAATATTAGTTCGGTATAATAAGAGCTACAGCTCTTAAGAAAACATAGTAATTCTATATTACAAACTCTTTTTTTGACCAGAATCTAGGGTTCGGTATAGAAAGAGTTGACTGTATTTAATTATAAGCTGAACTTATAGATCGTTAGACACTTGGCTGAATGATGCAATGAAATAAGTTTTGAATAATCTATTAATTATGCTATGTTCTTGTTTGTTCTGCAGTAACTATTGTAGCTAACAAGATCTTAAATTATCAGAGATAATTTTATTAATTTTAATAACTATTTCTCTTGGCAGATTATGTTTTTGAAATGCGTAACTCTAAAGGCTAAACCTGGAAAAAGTTGCAAGGTAATTGATCTTTATTGAGCGAAAGCATAGCTTTTATTAATTTTTTTTTAATTATATACATCAGTATTTATCTTTCTATTTACGTAATATAAAAGATGAGCGTAGTCAGAAGTTTTTTGGTTTTATACCATAAATTTATCTTCGTTGTTTGTTAAACCCCATGTTTGGTGGGAATTTTACCCGCTGGTTTTCACCTACCCAGTCACCATTCTGAAAATTCCTTTCCTGTCTTCGAACATCACTAATAACTCTTGATAATTGGTCGTGAACAACTTGTAATCGGTTAATATCAAGGTCATCAAGGGCTCTTGTTAGGCTTTGAATGTTAAAAATAAGTTCTTCAGTAGTAAGTTGTGCTTGTTGTGGGAGTTCTGTTGTATTAGGTTGTGATTGTTCAGCAGCATTGAATTGTAATTGATTCTCAATACTGATTTGTAGTTGATCATTAATGCTGGATTGTGGTCGCTCCTCAAAATTAGCTTGTGATCTCTCCTCAAAGTTAGCTTGTGGTCTTTTCTCAAAGTTAGCTTGTGGTCGCTCCTCAATATCAGAACATGATTGTTAATCAGCAGTAGATTGTGAATTTTTAGAATTTGTTGGAGAGGGTGTTGAAAAATAGCGAAATACAACAGCATACACATGCTTACAAGGGAGATTGCGTGATCTAAAATCCATACATTGGCAGGAAAATTGGCGTTCTATTTGATTATGCTTAATGTTTCTCTCAACTAAATATCTTACTCCTTGTATTGTTTCAGAATTGACGGTCCAGTAGTTTTTATTTATATTGTCTCTTAGTGCAGAGTTCATCAAATGTTCTCCCTTTAATTGTCTTTGACGGGTTTCTTTTTCTGCTGGCAACATCCTACCAGCTCTAATATCTGCAAGCCGTCGCTGGCGCCGAGCATCACCTTTTATTAGGGTTGTGTTATAGATGTTACAATCTTATAGCACATATAATTTTACTAGAGAGAAGTTTCATATGTGCACATGATTCCAAATTTTGCGCATTAATGCACATGATTCCAAATCATGTGTATTAATGCGCAGGATTTGAAAAATAAGTAAAATGTGCGCATTTATGCACATAATGCCATTTTGTCATATTTCTAAATTTCATACGTATAAGGTTTAATAAATCAGATTTTATGTAATTTTCATCACATTATGTATAAGGTACATATCAGCTTTACGAAAGGTTGATATATGATTAAAATTACATGAAAACTGGTTTACTACAAAATTATGATAATTTTATAACTTTACCTTCCATCACAACATATAATTCATAGATCAGAACATCACTACGTCAGTTTACTTTTCCATCGAAATTACTATACTTGAGACGTCTATGCCATGCTTCCAGCAAGTTGGTAGTATTAATATTCATATGTGGAACATCTGTTCGGTATGCATTCATCCACATAGTTTTTTCCACTCCAGAAAAATTATCATATTCATTTATGTTTAACCAGGTTTGCTTAAAGTAGGTGATAAAAGCTATGGAATCTTTCCATTTTTCTAAAAAAGATATTAACGCTTCTTCAGCAATGTTGATATTATCAGCATACATAAGAAACTTTAAATCATCAAGAAGTTCTTCTTTTAATTTTTTTTTTCTTCGGACCCTAAAACTGATTTTTTTTCTTCGTAAATTTTATTAGCATTTTCTCTCCATGCTCTTGATACATGAAACCAACATAACATAATTTTACTTTCTGGAAATTCCAATTTAAGAGCTTTAATTTGGGCCGGGTCAAAATCAACAAAAAATGCTAAAGGGCCTTGCCAATTAGGAAATTGTTACGAAGATTACGAAACCAATATTGTACTGATTCAGTATTTTTGCGTGAGGATATTAAATGAGCAAGTGTGATTCCTTTTCCTGTTTGTGGATCATGTGAGAGAAGAGTATACAAAAAATCCTTATGTTTGTTTATACTATGGGTTGAGTCTAAAAGAATAATAGTAGCTTCGTGAAGAACTTCTTTTCCAAGAGGGGTTGTAAATCCAAAGAGCCTACCCTTATTATTTTCTTGTTGTGGAATTATACATGTAAGATCACTATTTTTTTCAATTTCTAGTCTCCAAAGTTCTATACTTTGTTGTTCTGATTTATGTTTCATTTGTTCTTCTAATGCAACGTCTTTCCATATATTATAAATGTCATCTCGTGTTACGAGAAAATCTCTAATAAGTACTGCAGTTTTTTGATTAGGATTAGTCCAGATATTATCCATTTCTCTTGATTTTTTTTTAAAAATTTGATTTATGCCTTTAATATTTAAACCGTCTCTAAGTCTTTCTGCAATCCAAGTATGAACTTCATCAGATAGTTTTAAGGTTCCAATATCATCATCTTGGCCAGGAAAGTGGTTTGTATGTGGTGTATATTTTATTATTGTTTGACAATTATTCAAAGAATTTGTTTTAGTGATTATAATTTGTGATTTGCAATCACATTTTTTAGATTTTTTTTGATTAGGTCTTGACTTTTTTTGTAAATTTTGGCCTGCTATGCTTTTATAAATACCAGCGTGATGACATTGATAAATTATACGTGTAGTATTATTTTTTTCAATATGTTCAGTCTTTCGTTTATTGTAAATAGTACCTGTAGATGTTCCAAATTCTTTTATCCATATAGTAATATCTGTATTAAAGGGGATACAATATTCTTCTCCATCAACAGGTTTATCCCGTTTAATATCATAATTAATTGGATAAGAATCAGTAGGAAGTTTATTAAGAATTGTATATTTGTTTTTTAAACTTTCTACAAACTGATCAAAACAGTCAAACAAATCTTGTAAATTTGCTTCATAGTTATCTATATAATCCTCAATATTAATCATTGTAAGTAGTTACTATGAATAAATGAAATATCGAGTATTAAAATTTTATAAGTTTGAAATTTTATTTTTAAATCGTAAAAAACTTTAAATTGAAACATATGACTTATACATATCGGGTAATAACTTTAATTTTAATTCAAGTTTATAACATGATAAGAACGAATAGAAATTAACTAATTTTATAAAAACTAAATTTAAAGTTTTAAGAATTTTAAAAATCCAGTTATAATATTAATTTGGCTAATTCAAGTTTATAATAAACAAAAGCGAATAAAATAATATTATATTAGTTAAACAAATATAAAATATATGCTAAATCTAACAATAATACAAAATAAAATATTAATTAATTAAAAATATTTTTACTAATTTTCTTTTAAATTTCTATTGGCTAAGACTATTTATATATTATTTTTTTATAATATAAGTGTATAAAAGTAAAATATGAAAATACATTATAGTAAATTATTAAATTTGTTTTTAGATTTTTACTTTTATACATTTATATAATATTTTAATTAGAGTTAATAAGTTATATTACATTAAAATTTTGCAAAAAATTTTTTGTTAGTATACAAAAGATAATTTTTTAAACAAATTTTAAGATTAATGAATATAATAAATTATTAAATTAATTTTTTAAGTTTTTACTTTTATATACAGTTAAACCTCTCTATAGTTAACCTTTATATAAGCATATTATATAAAAATTCTCTTTATAAGCACATTTATTTTAAAACCAACTATTATAAATATATAGAAAAAACCTCTTTATAAGCACATCTTAGTAAAATTCTCTTTATAATTATACAAATCTTTATTCTAAAGAGTGTGATTATAGGGAGATTAGACTATACTTGTATAACATTTTAGTTAGAGTTATATTAAAGTTAATAAGCTGTATTATATCAAAATTTTGCAAAAAATTTTTTAATATACAAAAGATAATTCTTTAAGCAAAATTTTAAAATTAATAAATATAATAAATTATTAAATTAGTTATAAATTTTTAATTTTATATATTTATATAATATTCTAGTTAGAGTTATATTAAAGCTAGTAAGTAGCATTATATTAAAATTTTGTAAAAAAAATTTTTTGTTAGTATACAAAAAGTAATTCTTTAAACAAAATTTTAAGATTATCATAATAAAAAAGTAATTGTTTTTTTTTTTTTACCTTCACAATGTTGTGAACAAGTAAATTTTTCTTTTTTTTTTTTTTTTTTTTTTTTTTTTTTTTTTTTTTTTTTTTTTTTTTTTTTTCTTTTTTTTTTTTTTTTTTTTT